CTTCCAGATATGACATTTAAATATATATACCTACCTACTGCGCATATAGAAATAAGTGCGGAAAAAGTACTGAAGGTCTAAATCCAGCTCACGGCAAAAGTCGCGGTGTTGCAGCTTGTATTTTTCAAGGGAAAAGAAGAGCCTATACGATATCCTACAAGTAGTCAGCCAAATTATTGACGAGATGACTCTTTTAATGCAGAAAAGGGCATTGAATAAAAAACAAATTCCCATCTCATGCACGATAGCATATTGTACTGGTCAGCGAAAAATGGGGGGGGGGGGGGCAAACGATGCAACGTAATCTGGAGATGTATGTGTAGGTGTGCGTGTATACAAGTGTGCACGCGTATAGCCAAGAGGATTATTTACCTACGAGTCCTCCTCGTCGAGATCACCGCACCGATCTCATTTTCAACGGTGCTTTTCGCTCTGTCGGCAGGGGTAAAACAATGGACGGGTAATGAGATTTTTATTGACACGTCCTCCTTTCTTCCAGCCTCCCCTGCTGGTTGGCTCAAATCGAGGGCAAACTCTGCAATTACAACCGCGATTGGGAGCGTCTCTCAAATTGAATCCCCGTCGTGTGCCTCCTACTTACCCTTGTGTTGAAAACTCCTACTTGGTTGTTGACCAACGTGCAGGCTGCGGACGTCCTTTTTTGAAACGGGGCGGGAAATGCAAGGTTTGTTTATTGGGTTTTCTCTTACTTACTTGGAAGCTTTAATCAAATGTATCATTGTTTCACGAGACTTTTTTTTCAAGCACAATCGGACGATTGACTTTTGTATGATAAGTAATTTACAATTGTTGCAACTATTATTCAAAATTACATTTTTTTATTTAATTGGATCACAAATCCTTTGGTTAGGGGATCGGATGAAAAATAAATAAAGGTGACATCAAAGTGGTGGGACATTGGCTAGGACTAACAGGTAATGTAAAGTAACAAAAGAAACACCAGTTGTATTTTCTCTTTCCATATCAACACGTTTATTTCATAATACGATGACGTATGTATGTATGTATATATATTTATAGATCTATAATTATTGTAAATACACGTATTATGGTCGTCGGTCTGCCATCCACCCAGTGTCTTTATTTTTTTTTCTCCACCACAAAGCGACAGCTTACAACATTGGCTCTCGAATTTCCACTCTTATACTATTTTTTTTTTTTTTTGACCATCGCATCGTGGCGGTAACACGTAACACGCGACCATCGACAAAAATCGACGCGCGGTCGTGTAAGTACGTGCATAAAAACACGGATAAAACGGCAAAGTCGCGTATATAACATTAGGAATTTCGAAATATAGGTATCTCTTTCTTCTTTCGCTCTGGCGCTTATTCTGCACGTTTATAGTCAAATTTTTTCTTCTCCCCCCTAACCCCCATGTCAATAACATTATACATTTTTCAAACGCTTTTTTTTCCTTACTTCCAAAAAAGAAAAAGTTAAAACATCGCAACAACAACACGACATCAACGTCGATAAACAAATATACTTTATTTTTTTTTTCCCCCCTCCTGATGCACGCGCGACTCCCCCTTTTTTTTTGTTCATACATATAAAATTTTATTTTCCCCGGCATTTCATTGGCAGACACTTTTCACCCCGACAATTTGTATTTTCCTCCGGGGCCCCTCCGCTCTCGAACGCGATAAATAAAAATCGAGACGTGCCCGCGGTCGCGAACGTGCACGCGGTGTGTACAAAAAAAAAAAAAAGAGGCGTACAGATAGGCAGAACAAAAAAAAAGGGTCGCACCCCCCAGCCCCTATTTTTTCGGGTGTATAGGCAGGAAGAGAGATTGTCCCAGCCGCGCACAGGGAGTGCCCCCCCCCCCCGGCCGAAAATATTCGGGTGACGTCGTGCTCGCGGTGCCGTGCAAGCTCTCCGCAAATCGTTAACGAGGCGCGTGCTTAAAATACCTGAATCACCCCCCCCCCACGTTGCCCTCTCTGTTCCAATATGTACATGCGGGGCACTGGGGCTATCTCGGCTCGGCCCACAAATATACAGCGGAAAACTCCGAGGGGTGGAAAAAAAAAATAAATAAACCAGCACGAGATGACGATTCGGTGGAGGAAGGGGCGAGACGTCCGAGTGAAGTGTCTCAGGTCCGAAATGTACGCGCTACGGGGTGAAAGTTCCTTATTCAGGCTGCCCGTTTTAAATACGAAATTTACAATATAAATGTGAATCGTCAACGTGTACTTACATGCAGAAGAAAGACAATATTTCACGCACTCTTCTTTCACGCACTTTTCACTCCAGCTTTTTTTTTTTTTTTATATAATATACGTATACGTACCCTTAACTTTATTCACTCTCTTTGACTCCAATCATCATATATTTATACACTCATCGTCATTTTTTTTACCTTTTATTTATTTTAACGAAGGGATAGATGAACGCGATGTACTTTGTCCATTCTCTCCTTTCGTACTAATGTACATGTACAATATATATATATATATATATATATGTATCTTTTTCATAAAGCTTATATACTTCGAAACTCTCTGTTTACAATATATTATGTATATGTATGTATAATTAATACGTACCCGCAAAAACGCATGTCAATTCACTTAACGCACTTTGGAAAAATATGTATGCTGTACAATTAATCATATACGTATTTTTTAATATTTATATTACAAGATAGTTCGAAAAGAGTCGAGATGTACCGCTGAATCGCATGGATCAACCGATACGGTAACATCATCATCATCATCATCATCATCATCATTTTCTTCACATAAGTATTATTATTATTATTATTATTTACATCATCGTTGTTCGCGATGGAAAACTTGCATGCACTATTTATACAAAAAAACGCCTCATAAGTGCTTAAAATAAAAAAAAAAAAAAAAAATGCAGAAAACGTACGCGCAGTAATACAATACGATGCCTACACGTACGCATATTATATGCATATGTAGAGCTCGGAAAAAAGGCAAATACACCCGGTAATACTCATCTTTCTCTCTTTCGCTCCTCGAATTCAGACGACGCTTTATATGTATAAAAGAGTGCAGCCGCATACTCGTGTAAGCGCCAGTCTCTCGCTCATGCAAGTTCTCCATTTCAGGGCTGCGGAGGAGAAAATAAATGGGGGGTGGCGGAGGAAAAAAAAAAAAAAAAAAAAAAAAGAAGTTTAGCAACAGCAGAGGCAGAAAAGGGAAGCTCGCTCGCTCGCATGATGCATGATGCATGAGGAGGAGGCGGCAATCCGCAAATTCCCTCGACCCTCCTCATGTATACGTATATATATATGCTCCTCCTCCACTGTAAGTGGGTACACATATATGTGTGTATATGTATACCTCTCTTTTTCTTCATACACACACCCTCGATCTCTCGCACGCGGTCCTCATTCGTTGTTACAAGATTATTCTCATCAGCTCCCCTCGATTCGTTTGCCACGATGATGACGATGATAGTTATAATCATACGCCTCGCGCCATCGAGGACGACGAGTCGCGTACAAGTAAAAGATATATTATATATTGATAATGGTATTATGTATAACATACGGTATTTACAGAATATGTACATTGTATGGTCATACGTGGAGATGGGAATGGAGGGAAAATCAAGTCGGACACGGGATGTGGGGGTGAAGGAGGGAGAAAAAAAAAAAAAAAAGATGATTAATCCATGTTTTTTGCGCGTAGGCTTGTACACGTTTGTTTCGTGCGTTTTCGCGTATTATATTACCGAACCCACACACCAGCGTATAAATTGCCGAGTATAACCGTGGAGGGGGTTGGAAAGGGATGTTGGTACGCGTTGCAGGTAGGACAGCCTCGCCGAGTATGGGTGTACCTGGTGAAACTAATGCCCTAATGCTCGAATAAAAAAGTCGTCCGGGGAGAGGCGCCCACTGAAATTAGAAGCGGCGAACACGCGTTCGCGGGCCAAAGGGGGAGAGGCTTGTCATCCTCCTCTTCGTTGTTGTTGTTTTTTTTTTTTGGACAGCGTCAGAGCGCAGTGGGAGAGAGTCCCGGTGATTTGTAACGCGGCTGTATGCGGTACGCTCCGAGTAAGCATGTTTCAGGCACAACCAGCCCCGCTCGTAGATGACCTCTCCAAATTGCCAGGAATTCAAATGAGCGCTGTTAACGTTGTCGCGCTCGTGCATACGTGTGTATTACACGTGGCATCGATCGTGCGGCACATTTAGCGTGTTGTACTTTTTTTTTTTTTCAATTTTTTTTTCTTTCTCGTTTTCGTTCCGTTTGTTCACGTAAACAGGTATTTACGTACAGCGTCTCTTCCGGGAGGTCAGTCCTACTTTTTGCCTGACCCGTAGTCGTTGCCGCGCTCTCCTTTTCTTCCCCCAACCCTTTCCCACCCAGGTTTTTGCCCCTTTCTCTCCCCGACTTTTGGCAGTGCAAGATTGATCGTTCCATTATACCCCGATGCCGGTTGTTTCTACCTACATACCGTTGTACCCTGTGCTGCCCCGGCGTGTAATTAGCTCCCTGCGCTCGTTCTCGGCGTCTGGTGCAATAACGGATACAAAATGTACCCGTTTGTCGAGAAAAAAAAAAAAAAAAAAAAAAACCAAGTGATAGTTACACCGTACGTATACGTTAGTTATTACAAAATCATATACATTTGTGTTAGGTATATAAAAATATATATCTGTGTGATTATACAGTACCGAAGTTTGTTGTTGAAAAAGCAAGGGTTAAAACTATGGCACACGAAATCATACACATGAATAAATCAATCTTTGTGAATGCCATAAGTCGTTTTATTAAAAAAATCTATAGTATAATAATAATAATCTTATATATGTATATAATATCATACAAAATAATACTAATGTGTATGTATAAGACTCTCGATTCGCCGGAGCTGCGTGATGTCGTTCTTGTAAATACTTACGAAATTCAAAAATGAAGCCTCGTAATTGCGAAAGCCCTTCGAACCAAGCCTAGAAATAGCCTTTTAGAAAAATAATAAGCAATAAAAAAAATGGTCCCCACTCCGTTGCACATAAAATTACGAAAAAAAAAAAAAAAAGAATTAAAAAGGCGAGCGGTATCGGTGACTTTGGTATAAAGGTGGGGTACGGGGCAACAAAAAATCACTCATTCTCGTATCACCGTTCTCTCGTCACTCATGTGGTATGTACATAATATATAATATATTTTCACCATCCCACCAATGGCTTTCCCCGAATCCTCGATACAAATTGAACGTACACGCATGATGTCTTGTGCACATGTAATACGTTTGTACATATTATTATTATTATTATTATTATTATTATCGTACAGGTAATGTATGTATATGTATAGAGAAATATTTGTGTGAAAAAGTGTGGCAGTCTTGAACAACACGACGTACAATTGATTTGTATACCGAGAAAAAAAGCAAAGTTGAGGTATATCGTGAAACGAAGGGATAGATGAACGCGATGTACTTTGTCCCAGTGACCGTAACGCAAACGCCAAACCTATCTTATAAAAGTGTATGATATATAGACAGTGTAGATCCCGGAGTGAAGGAAAAGCTCTCTGTCGGACACAAATAGACGCGCACAGGTTTACCCAATTCCGAGGCGCAAGAGGTGTCAAAGGGAGGAAAAAGGGGTCAGCGAGTATATATATAGTATATAAGTGACGCGCAAGGGGATGGGTTGGTCGTGCGGGGAGAGGGTAATTTCGAGGTTCGACGCGTTCGCAGGCAATCAGACGTAGTACTCGTTGACGTTGAGCGCGCCGGGGTCGCGTCCCTATACGCAGCTCTCCTGGCTGGATATAAGGGGCGTGCGCACCGTCACGACTTCCCGGGGGTAGGGGGGCGGGGGGTGCTGGTGGGCCTTGAGCGGCAGGGTGTCCTGGTGTTGGAGGAGGCTCGTCGAGTTGATTGGCGGCGTGCCCGGCGTGGCTATGGTGAGGCCGGGCGGTGACAGCTGGTCGATCTGCTTGACGGGTGGCCGGGCGTTGTGGTCGATGCACGCGTAGACCGTGGCCTCTTTGGGGTAGCTCGGGGACTGGTGCTTGCCCCCGATGATCACACCGGTGCCGTTGTTGCCGAAACCAGCGAGGCTGCTCAGGCCACCGAGGCTCGCGAGCTTCGCGTCCGCACCGGCTGCCGTCGTCAGGGCTGAGGGCCGCGGCAGGCACAGCTCCGCGTACGTCACTTCGCCGCTCAGCTGCGAACAAAAATCATCACATGTTCCAAACAAGGATACTCTCTCTCTACCTTATTGGTCACTAACTATACATAATGTGTACCAATTGCTACGTGTACATCATTTTTCCATTCTACTATCGATACAACAATTTGTTTAAAGGGCCTAATGCCAACATCGTTTTTATGCCAGAAAGCCTTAATGAATTATCTACCCGTGTCTAACAGAACGAGGATTCAGGATCAAGGAAGCGTATACATTTTTGTGCCAAGCAGCTGCACAGAAGCTTACGAGGAACAGCTCCTGCTCGAAAAAGGATATCACGTATCGATGTACGTACGAAATCTGCACTGAAAACATCGAATCCCCGGGACATATTTGGTTACATTTACCCTCTGGCTAAGGCAAACGGACAGGTAGATGTATATCGACACGGTGAAGGGCTACCCGTAAACCTCGAAATAGGGCTCGGCTAATTTGACGTAACCCAGTCGTGGGCTGCATACCAAAACCGCGTCTTTCCAATTGGTCCCGAACTCGGGGCGTCGCTTCTAATCAAGACGGTATAAAGTATTCACGGAGACGCGAGCGAAGAAAACACAAATCAGCACAACCGATGCTGAGCTATACTCTCGACAATCGCCGCGCACATCGAAAATGCTCCCTCCTCTGCACTATGATCATGACAGAGGGAACGGGGCGAAATTACTCGTTACGAGTATAGTAGCTAATACAGAGTTCGTGCTGGTAGAGATGAGAGAGAGAGAGAGAGAGAAGTGGGTGCCAAACTCTGACGAGGGCGTTGCATGCATGTATGTATGTACATAATGGGGTTGGGGATGGGGGGGGGGGGTGTGCAGTATAAGCATAGTAGCACATACTTAAACTCGTTTCGCCGGCTAAATTAACGCGATTTGTTAAAGCATGAAACGCGAGTCGAGTGCAAGAGAGGGGGTTGTTCTTGTTGTTCATGCACGGGTGAGAGGTAGGGATGATGTTTCAGGGGTGGGCTTTTGTTGTGGAACTAATTAACTGAAAGTTCGCCGGATGGAGAGTTGTGCTCGTGATGCCCCAACCTCGTGCCGGCGCGCGTGTCCGGATCCTGTGTGCGATATGCAAGTTGGGCGGCGATGCCTGATGCGCGGTACTAAAATCGATGGGGGTACAGCTTTGGATCCGCGCGTGCATGTGTGTAACGTGCGGGTGTTAAAGTCAGAGAGAGAGAGAGATACTCACCGGCAGCGTGGGATAATTGTTGTAGTCGTTGTGCGATGAGTAGGTCGGCAGGTGATTCGGTTGCTGGCTCCCCGTAAGCGAGGTCGTCGAGTCCGGCGTCGTTTGCACTGCCAGCGGCGTGCCGGCCGTCGACCCTGTCAGCTGGTAGTCCGAGTCTGTGGGCACGACCATTGCAAGGTTTTTTTTTTCTCTTAGCCCTCCTTACTACAGTCCCGTTTTACTGATTTTTAGGGTCATCAAAAAAAAAAAAAAAAAAAAAAAAAAAAAATAGAAAAAAATAAAAAACCAAATATCTGGTGGCAAGTTACTCGTGTTATTGTACAAAATTAATTGAATGCTTTTAATTTTGTGAAACGAGTTTTCGCGCTTTCGAAAGTTACAACCCTTGATTGGCGTAGTTTGTAAAGCTCGCGCGAAATACTCCCCCCTGAGCCCTTTACGCGACAAATTGTTATTCCATGGAACGAGTACGTAAAACTTTTTTAATTGGAATGAATGTAGCAAAACACGTGCACTTGTAAAAATGAATCCTACCTTTGTTCGTGGGCACGACGTCGGGGTTGCGATCGTCGGCGTCGTACAGATCCTCGGAGCTCGGGGCCGTGGCCTTTTTGAGGGGCAGGTCTCCCGGCCTCTGGGCCCTACGGTCGCTCCTTACCTTCAGCGCCAGCAGTACCATGACGGTGCACAGCAGCAGGACGCTTATCACGCCGACGAGGATCCCGAGTATCGGCGTCATTTCGAAAGGCACGGGGGTCCCTGTGAACAGTACGCGCACTACTCCTGCGCATGCATTTCTCGAGTTTGACAACAATAAAACGCGTGACGCAAACAAACAAACAAAACGTGCAGCATACATGGTTTTTTATTATTATTATTATTATTTATAAAATATAGCCACGTATGATCGAAGAGTACAATTTCCCGAGAAAAACGGGACGCGGTGCTCTTTTTCGCCCCACGCGCGAGCCGTCGTAAATCCCGAGCGATCTTTGAACACGGCGAGCCCGTCGCGCGAATTTATTTCACCCCGTAAGGTATATGCAGATCGCACACTTGTGCGCGCATAATTCGAGCCCCCCCCCACCCGCCCATCCGTATACACACATTCGGCTCAGCCCCCTTAATAACTTTGATTCTCGAAGCGCGTGCTCGTTCGCCCGCGGAGGTGTATACCTGCGGAGCACCACTCGAGTTCCTCCGGCAGCGACGGCGCGTCGGGGAAGAGGACTTGAATATTCCCTCTACTACTTGTACCTCCTCTCTCGTCTCCCGTGATTTTTCCGGGGCAAAACGTCGAGCTCCCCCCCCCCCTCCCCTCTCTTGTGCTTGCATATTAACGACGTCGTCGCAAGGGAGCGAGAGGGGAGCTTTTGAAAGCCGATATTCATTAGGGCGAGCGAAGGTCGGGATTTTTGTACTTGAAAAAAGGCTGGTGCCGTCTACATCTGTATTACGTACATGCAATTTTCGGATGCATCTGTTTACCGCATCGACGATTCGTATATTGCACAAAAGTAAACATCAGATTGAAAGTTTTCGAGTTATGGCTGTAGTGCCGAAAACGATGCGGATCACGAGGAAAGAATAGGAGGACGATTTTTTTTTTCTTCAATTTTTTATTTTCGAGTAATGCTAACGCGTCCCCGGCTCGGCGATTATTATTATAATTATACGACTCTGGTAACATTTTTCGTTGGGTATCAGCCGAGTTTTGAATTATTGACGATGAATTAAAGCGAACGGCACCTCGTATACTGTGCGACTTTTTTTTGGTCAATGTCAATTTATACACACACATTTTGCTCGGGTCGCTTAACCAGGTTTAATGACATCGCGTCGATACACCACCCGCATAAAATTGACGGAGAAAAATTATGACATTGTATCCGGAAAATTGCCAAACACGTGACATATGTACATAGCACGTACACACGGACAATGAGCTGCAAGGGGTGGGGAATTAATTTAAAAAAAAACACACACACACAGACACACTCAACTTACCAGTCTGCTTTTCGGCGACCTTGAGGGTGAAGCCCTCGAGGAGGGCGGGGTCGCTGCGTCCCTTGGAGTTGACCGCGTAGACGGCCATGCGTAGGACACGGCCGGGCTCGAGGTTGTACACGCCAAAGGTCGCGGAGTCGCGGGCGCTCACGTTCGCCCTGAGCTGGCCGCTGTGCTGGTCGTAGACCTCGAGCTGGAAGTGCTGGGTCTGACCGCCGTCGAAACCCGCCGTACATTCCACCGACAGAGATTGCGTCGTTTGGTTCGTCAGCGTGCAATTGTACGGTGGCTCCGGCTTACCTGTCGACCGAAGGGGGGTGGTTTTAAGTACAAATCAATAAGCTACAACAAATTTACTTTGAATTGTTTTTCTATAAGAGATAGAGGCACGACCACGTTAAGTTTGTTTTTTTTTTTTTTTTTTTCTTCCGTTCTTCCCCCAGAAATAAACAAACGTGACTAGCGAGCGACGAAAATGTCGAGTAAGTGTGCAAGTAGATAGAGGCAACTAACCAGTTGTACGGAAACAAGAGTGCAAGGTGACGCGCTAAAGAGCTCGTCGAAGCTCGTGGGGAAAATTTTCAAGCGGTTGCTGTTGTACGCATACGTAGGGGTGTAGAAGTGCGCGTCGCGTGGGTAACGAATCGCCGTCTCAAACGAAATGCTCGCGGGCACGATGACAGTGAGCACATCGCGCGTGCCGTTGTTGTGTAACAGTTGCGCTGGATTATACGTATGTGTATACATATATAGGAGTTATCGCGCGTGTCGCGGTGTCACGGCTCCTGATGCCGCCACGGCTGTCTTCATTATCAAGAGCCGTCGTCGTGTAACTCGTTTGCGTCACGTATAGCTGTCGAGAGGCGAGATTACGCGCACACCCACGCCCGTTTGTTCGTGGCTTTCGGAGAGTTTCGTCCTTTTTCTTTTTCTTTTTCCTCTCTCTGACATCGATCGATTGTATGATTGTTCCCCGAAATAACAACTGTACGACCGTAAGATCGAGTTATTCCATTAGGTGTATAATTTTTCGATTTCCGCTGTATACATCATTCAATCGAGTTAAAAAATCAATGATCGACCGGATAATCGGATAACGATGCTGCAGGATCAGGTTAACGATAATCAAGGATCGGTAAAACGAAAGTCGCATCTCAAATGAAATTTCGCGTATATATATGCCGTTCGTTGGTGTGTGCGAGTAGAAAAGGATGAAAAAAAAGGGCTCACCAGCGGCGATGATGTGGAAGACGCAGGGGGTCTTTTGTTGTCCGGCGGCGTTGCTGGCCCAGCAGGAGACGGTGCCGTAGTCGAGCTCGCTCGCGGGCTTGTACGTGAGGACGCTCTGGGCCAGGTCGGTCGAGTCCTCGTGGCGGGCATCCGGACCGTTGGCCATCTCCTCGGTGCTGTTGAAGGCCCAGCGGAACTTGTCCGGGGCCGGGTACGCCTCCACCTTGCAGAAGATGCGGGCCTCCTCGTGCCGGGCCACCCCGTAGATCCGCTTCTGCTCCGGCAGGCAAATTGGCTTGTCTGCGCGGGGAGAAAAACACCCGTCAATTCTCCACCATCTCTCTACCCACGGGTTGTTTCGCTACGATATAGATACTTACACATGATCTTGAGCTCGACGTTGTTGCTGAAGCCGTCGCCCTCGACGTTGCTGGCCGTGCAGGAGTAGTTGCCGGCCTGCGAGCGCTTGACCTTGCGCAGGGCCAGGCTCGTCATCTGCACTATCATGCCCTGCTTGGCGTTGTTTTGCAACACGTTGCCCTGCCAACAGGATAAGAAATGGTAAATAACGTCACTTATATAGGGCACAAAGTACAAACATGAGCGCCCGAAGGTATTGGTGCACGAGTCGCGTGTAACGTTTTTCTCACCGAGGGTGCAAAGTGGGCCCAAAGTGATACGTGGCTGATGACGCCAAGGGTGGAAATTTCAATTTAGTTTCGAGACGCGAAAGGAGAGCAGAGATAGAGGGAAATAAAAGGTGGGTTGTACACAAGAGCAGCGAGTCGAGTTTCATTATATGCGGGGCACGGCCGAGGCATACATTTTTCTCCTTATTTCGCCGGCCGCAATGAATTTTCACTGGCTGCCGGTGTTGCAGTGGATGAGACTTTTTTTTCCCCTCCGTCTCTAAACTCGGAAAACTAGAAATTCCGGTGTAAATCGGCAAAGGAATTCGCGCCCAAAAGGGAGGAACCGCAAATACTTTGTCGTCTCTGCACTTTCTTACACGCGAAGAGCTCCACCAGCCGCTGCTGTTTCGTTTTTTTTTTTTTTTGCATGAAAACGCGGAGAAAGGGAAGGGAAAATTCGAGAGCTGAAGCAGTGGTTGTTGCTAGACGAGTTTCGGATGAATTTTCGGGGTGGGAAAAAAAGGGAGCAATAACTCACGTTGTGCTTCCAGATGACTTTGTACGCCGGGGGATTGGCGTTGACCTGGCACTCAAAGTACACGTCGTCGTCCTCCTCGATGTCGTTGGGATTCATGCTGGCGCCGAGTTTCAGGTTCAACGTAGGGACGTCTGCAATCGACAAAGCGGGACCATTTCTTTAAAATCAGCCTCTTGATTCGCAAAACTTGAAAGTGTATACCGAGGTACTTACAGTAGACGTTTAATTTCAACGAGCCCTCCTCCACCGCGCCAGGAATGTGTGAATTTTCCGCTCTGCAGGTTATCAACTTGCCGTTGTCCTCCACCTGCGGGGTGAACGTCAATATCGACGACGTCACATTTCCGTCCTTCGACGACTGGAATCAAACATTTAAATCACCCCGATGACGATGATTAATATACATGTACATTGCCGTTTGAGCGCGGCAACTCGTACACGACGTTGATTATGATCGTACGTTGCACGTGAAACCACACACACGTTTGTATATTATTCAAAGGCTTACAAAGTGTGCCAACCATTCGAGTGACCTCGATATTGCACTTTACCCGCAAACTACTGGAGGGCTAATCACTTCTCGTTTTACAGAAATTTAAATGAAATATTTATACCAAAAAGCGACAATAAGACGTGTGTGTATATTATAGACGTGGAACGTAAATTGTTTCTAAGGTTCGTTAGCGGACGGAGACTAGGTCAATTTAATATTCATGTGCGAGCGAGCACTGAAAATATAGCAGGTGGGCAGTACATGTATAGCAGCGGCCGAGCGTTGTGGCGGACGTTTTGCGTCCTTTAAAGGAAATGTCTTGATTTCATCGAGCGTGAAGGGAGTTTAATTGGAACGGGACCCTCGAAGCGTCCCTCCTCTCGTGGGATAAAACTGGCGAACGTCTGCGTATAGGTGCCATTCGTTTCCAGCGAAACTCGAAATAATAGCTATAATTGTGCAACTATTTCAGAAACTTGCAACGCAATTAAAAACATTTCCTGCAAGACTGACCCAGTTGTACTTGTCTCCTCGGGGTAAATTTTGAAATTTCGAGAGAATTAAATTCGAAACATCTATAGGCTAAAGAAGAAAAAAAACAAAAAAACCCCCTTTGTTCTGCCTGTCGAAAATCAGCCGCGATGAACATCGCAACCTCTCCATATCCATAGTCGGATTTGCTAGTCCAGCAGTGGTACGGTAGCCTCGATAGATTCGGGCGCGACAGCCCGTTATCTATTACACGGCCTCATACAGTGTATACGTATACACGCGGGCTCACGCGCCTGTACTCTCAAACACCCAACCAGCGTGTATAATTTCTCTCCAGGCCTTGTGCATACCCCCTCTGGCAATTCAAATCGCGGATCACGTGAAGTCGGGCTGCGTATACGCCACCTTTACCATATACATACACACACCCCAAGCCCCCCTCCCCCATATGTGGGTGCGTGTCTGTCTGTGTACCAACTTCATCTGCGGTCGACGCGTGATGTACTGCCTGATGAACGTCGATTCCCACCGGCACTAGACTCCGACATGACAGTCATCCCCGCCCTGTACACCCATGCATTCGTGGCCTATATACGTACGTACAAATATATAGGGAGCATCGGAACCGCGGGTATATAGTGTTACTGTACCGCGCGTTTCCGCAATGCATTCGGAATCGTCGTGTTCCCAGCCTCTTCCGGCTTACTTGCACGCCCCTATACATGCATACACCTAAGCTCCGCGGAGTAGTTAACCGACTGCCACTGTATTATTGGCCCTGATCTTGGGGAATCAGCGCCGTTCGTATTTGGGCTCGAGAGTAATGAATCGGAGCTTTCAACTGATGCACGCTATCGTGTATGGCTACGTGCCATACGAATATAGACGTGATTGTTTTTCTACGAAACGCACGGCAAGATCATGAAATAATGTCTACTTTACGATGTGTACCGCGTGAAGTGTACAGCGGAGGGCGTAGGGTATATATATGTAGGCTGTGTAAAAATCATCAAGTAGAAATGTCCGAGTTTGGTCAGACCGGCCTTGAACACGATAACCGCATGAATATCAAATCGCCCGGGCTCTAATCTCCAACCTTCGACTTTTCCGAGTTGATTGATTGTACATTTCGTGCCATTGTATACGAATGTACTTGTTTACTCTGTTATACGAAACTCCAATTAGCGACCGATGCAGGTTGGATGGATTTTCGATGAGAAGTAAGGGCAAGCGAGTTTCTTATTCTCAATCAAGAGCTGCACCCTCGACCGTAGGACGATTTGCTTCGTTTTAACGGGCATTCGCGCCAGTTGACGTTTATTACTTTTGGAATTAAGTTTATCGGATTGCCGTTACCAAGCAAGGCTCTTCGATTGTAAAAAAAAAGAAAAACCGTCAAGAACAAGCAAGGGGGCTTCCGATCGTAATCGAGAGACGCAGCAAAACCAGATCCAGCGGTGGAGGGTGGGCCGATCGTAGCGAGATTATCGCGCGGTTTTTCACTCCTCGCGCCATCAACCGGTGCTCGTTGTAATTGCCGTATAGCGTGTGCGCCCGGCTAATGGCCGAAATGATGCAAATACCGATACGGCACGAGCTGATGCCGGTGATTCCCGGTGGCGCGACCGCCCGGGCGAAAAGTCCCAGATGGGAGATTTCGGCTCGGAGTAATGGCCAAGAGGGCGTGACGCTCGTTTCGCGCGCTTTGAATAATAATAAACTTCTCGGAGGCGAAGGTTGATTTTTTTTTTTTTTCTGGGAGTGTAGCGTGTAGTCGTTCGAGAAAACACTGGTAAAGCGCGACGGGGAGTTTTTAACGAGGTTAAAAATACCTCGAGAGTATGATTGAAAAAAAGTGTGAAATTACCAGCTCCGACCGGTGTTTGCTCTCGCGAGTGCGAAAAAGATGCGCGTCCTCGGCAAACACGACGCGGGAATCTGCATATACTTCTAAAAGCAAAATCGCGTGCCCGTCAATTAACTTTCACCCACTTTTCTACTCTGCCAACGAAAAAAAAAAAAAAAAACCTCAAATGCAAATGATAATAACGAGTTTACGAATTCGCTAACAGTTGCTACCTGCTATCCTCGGTTATATAAAATACACAGACACGCTCGTTTCCAGGGAGTCACGAATGGTTTAATTTTTGGCGACCAGCAGCTAAAAGAATCCACAGTCATCCGGGTCACCCCCTTTTTTTACACTCCAGACGCGGTGACACATCTCCTTTTGACTTCATTAGGGGACGCAGAGCCAAACCCCCCGTTCCAGCCCCGTCGTTTTAATCTCGCGATTAATGAAAAGTGTAGGACGAAGCGCCCGCAACATCGCGCTCTCCCTTTCTCCCCTTGTTTGGCGCTCCTCCTCTTCTCTCATTACTTAGCGTTAATTCACTTTGAAACGTCTACTCGAATATCTTATAATCTCGGCTCTCGAGTCTTTCCCCCCCCCCCCATCCCGCCCATATCTTTCTTTCTTCCTCGTCGAATTTTTCTTTTTGACCCGTCTCTCCTTCGCACTCCTTTTGTTTCGCCCCGATTCTTTTGATAAGGAGGACCGACGTTTCATTTATCCGCTCTTTACGGGGTCCCCCAAAGCTCTCCTCTGTCGCTTAATTGATGAAAAAGACCTTCTTTTTTTTTTCATTCGTCCACGATGGGTGAAAATAATCCAGTGTCGTCGAAAACGAGGATTAAAATGTCTCTTTACCTGCGAGGTGTAATTGGTGAGGCGCTGGTTGTCCATGAACCAGGTTACCGTTGCGGACGGCCTCGAGCCCACGGACACGCAGTTCAGCTCGTACTTGCGACCAGCGCTCAATGGCGTGTCCTTGTCTGTGTTTATGGTCACCTTCAGCGGACGAACTGAAACAAAAATGGACAATTTTAGTTTTCACCTTTTTCGAGTAAATTCTGGTTTGTCAAGATTCCTCTTAACTCCGGGTCGTCCCTGCAAAAATTTTAAAAATCAAGCGGCACACGGGGTATGTGGGTCAAAACGACATTGGGCCAAAGTAAGGGGCTCCCCGGCTGGTACTCGCCGAGACTTAAACTCCGGCCACGCTGGTCCTAATGCATTTCGAACGAGTGCAGCCACCGGAAACGAAAATCCAAGTGGCACTGGCGGCAAATCAGCGAACTTCTGTTTCCCAGCGCGAAGCGTCCGGATCGACGACCTATAGCCCTACTTACGGTGTAGCGGGCACGTTGGGTACGTGGGAGCCGGGAGCAGTTTGTTTGACGTAAAGTTGGCGGTTGGAATTTTAGTTTTAGCCGGTTGTGAGACAAGGAGGCTTTGCGTATCATATCCGTGGGGAAAAATTTTTACGTCAAAAGGGCCATTTTTTACCAATAAAAAGGCTTTCGTTAAACTCGTTCAGCAAATACAATTGACAAACAACATAAAAATGTACAAGAAAAAGAATCAAATCTAACATTTATTATTTTGAATCTTCACAATTTATTTCACGTAAAACTATAAATACGTTACAGCTGTTTCGGTAGACTGTACCCTTTCTTAGGTGCACATGAATTGAATTGCGTTTATGTTTTTACATGAAAATAAATTGTGAAGACGAATGATAAACGTTGGATTTGTGCTTCTTATATTCCTTATCATCCATTGAAACGAATGATTGAATGTTCATAAAAGAGATAGAGACCACTACTGTTAAGAACATTATTACTTGGAAAATTCGATAAAAGTGTAAAAATGTGTAGACACCGAAGCGACTTGTAAAAATCAATAGAGTATCCACGTCGCGCAAGGGGTGAAAAAATTTTTTTTCTTACAGCCATTGGATGCACGGATCACAAAAAAGAAAGAACTCTCGAGCGAAGGCTCACAATACTCAAGTGCGACGAATGGGACTGCAAATAAAGACCGGCGAGGGGGGGGGGGTGAGTTGTGAGGGTGAGAGATTAAAGGAGGAAGAGAGCAAAAATCAGCACAGTGAATTAAGGGGGTGCGAAAGGGAGGGATATAAGAACGAAATGAGAAGGAAAACAAGCGCGGGAAAGATCAAGAGAAAGTGGCGTGAAAAGGAGGGAGTTGCGAGATTCTCCATTCAAGCGACTCGTCTTTTCTCCCCTTCCCTTGCGAGCTGCCGAGCTCGGAATTAAACTTTCCCTGCTTAAAACTTTTGACTCCCAATGAAAAATTTTTTACGCCCCCTCCTTTCTCACCAAGTCCCTTTATCCCGACTGCTTAAGCTTTGCCGACTTCTTTCGCTTTTGCTTACATTTCTATAACTAGATGATTTTCTTTCGTCGCGTTTCTACCTTTTCATTCCCCCCATCCCCCTCGAATTCGAGTGCTGCTCTTTTCTACCTCCCGTCGCTGAATCACTTTTCATAAGAGCATTGAAACGATCCACACGGGACACGGGAATATTTCAAAACTTACTCGGGGCACTTTTCTTTTCAATTTTCCAGAGTTAAAAAAAAAAAAAAAAAAAAAAATGGGGAAGGGGGATCTACGAGGGTCGTAAACACCAAAGCCCCCGCGATCCGAAGCGATAATTCCCGGGGATTACGTACGTACATGGCGTGGCGTAAAAATTAACTGGATACTGGATACGCGACCAAAACAGCGAAAAAGGGGAAAAATAAATACCAACTGCTCGATATTTGCACGAGGCGCTAAGGCCAAAGGTAACATACGGACGCGCGAGTAGTCCCCGGACTTATTGCCATCGCGAATTGAAAATACGCTCGAAGTGGGGGGGGGGGGCTTTATACGCGCGCCTGTAGCGTGGCAGGAGTTTTTGCGCGGAGCCATTACCGCCTGTTTGGCTTTTCCCGTTTGCTCCCCGGGTTCTATGTGTATATACTCCGCCGAACCTTATCACTCGTGGGGTAAAACTCGTGGTACAATTTTGAGAGGATTTACAAAATATTTCCGTCTCGGAGAAATCCCTCGCTCCGTTTTGTCGATCGCGAGACCGAAAAATCTCGAGCAGCGTGAAGAACAAAAAAGGCCTCGCTCCGTTAACCCCCGAAAACAAGCGGAAGCTCGGTTTTTTTGAAAATGCATTCGCCGAGAGCATTTTGCGACAAAAAGGGAAAAAGGAAAATAAAAACTCGGAAAAGATGGTCGCTCGAAACGGCTAAAAGGATCGAGGGACTTATTGGAAGAACAGACAGCGTGAGAAACGAAGGGGAGTAAACAGAGATAGAGGAAGGAACGAAATAGAAAAACTTTGGTCCCGCTCCGCGTTTTCTTTTTTCCCCCCGATGGGTCAGAAATTCCAGGGCACGGGTGGGTCAACACGGAGGCGCGCGAGAGAGAGATCAGCGAGTCGAAAAACCAAACGGGAGGAAAAAAGAGGGCTGGAGATGAGGAGGCCGAGGGTGAAAAATAAACGAGACAGCCGCGGGTGAACCAAACGAGAGGGAAAAGCGCGCGATGTATCGGGGAGGTAGGGACGCGTGCCGTACTCTCGCCAACCCTCGTAGTTGTTGCTGCAGTACAGGGGGAATAAGGGAAGGGGTCACCCGAGACTCACTCGACTTGCACTGGCGCGATCCACGTCTGAGAGGGCCCTTCAGACTCTTCGAGCATCAAAAGCAGTCCCCTCCCGTCTTTCCTCCCCTCGTTCTCTTTGGCCCTTTTTCTAAGCGCGCGGGTCTCCCTTTCACAATCAGACTCGAGAGGGCCGAACTGTTCCGCTCGTGTCATTTCCTCCTCTACAACCTTCCATTGCACCGGTGGGCCGTTTTTCACGGGGGAATTTCGGTTCGTTATTTTAAGCACCATCCGGGCTCAATTTCCAGGGAAAGAAAGAAAGAATCTCTCTTTGCCCGCGAGTTTTCTATTAACTCCCCCACCAAGAGGGGGGAGGGGGTCGCCCCCCGTGGCCGACCTATGGCGGCGTTTTGTTCCCGCGTGACCAGTCCGTCTGCCTCCTTTTCTCTATTTCCTCTTCCACCCTCCCCTTAGTTATCGCGCAAGAAAAACCGGGGCTCGGCTGTATAGACTTTCCAATTTTGCGCAGTGCGAATTCTTTTGTCTTCGCGGGGTGGTGGCTTTCATTCTTTCGAGCACGCCGGCCGATCTTCCCTCGGCTTTTAGCGCGAAAAATAAACAAAGAAAGCGTGCGCGACGAGAGATTGTGTAGGTATAAGTTACAGGAGAGTGGCCGCGCCGCACAATGTGGGCATCCCCACCCCTTCGCCGCCGACAAATGCAGAAGCTGTTTATTGTCCGAGCTGAGCTTTTTTAAAGCATCTTTTTCTCTTCCATCCATTGTGACTCTCGCTCCGTTATTGTTACCTTTTTTTTTTTTTTTTCCTCTCGTATCGTATTATTTATCGCATCCCGTTCGCTCTTTAAACGGGCATTTTCCGAGTACTCGACACATACACGCGTACTTGCGGAAGAAATCGGGGACAAGTGGCAGAGACATGGGTGCAACTACGCAAAGAGATGGAAAACTGGTGAAACATTTCCCGGGTGGGTGTGTACACATGAGCGCGCGGAACTACTACCAAATGGATGCAGCCCTGGTGCGAAATCGTCGGATAAGTGCAGGGACAACCAAAGCGAAATTTCGGATCCCAAGTCCTGAACGTTTTTGCTCGGAAGTGCGCCCGAAAGCGTCACTCTGCTGTCTCCGTACAGCCAAGATGGTATTTTATCGCTGAACGAGGAGGAAAAAGTAGAACCAGCAATTTTATCTACGTACATCCAGCTAAAAGCAGTCGTAGTTCGCGGTCTGACCAACGAGGGTCTGGATCTACTGAAATCAGCGCAGTAGTACTTGCCAAGGCAGCGTCACGTCCCCCGTCGTTTTCTCAGTGACAACGTAATGAAAATAAAATAGACGTTTCGCCCTAGAAACGTTTTCCCTCTCACGCGACAGACAGCTGCCAGACAGTCCTCGGGGGGGGGGGGGGGGGGGTTAAAATCCTTGGAAAAAAACGAGGAGGAAATCGACGGTCGGAGGAAGAATTTCACTTGTCGCGACTCGCTTTTTCTCCTCGTCTCTTCCTCTTTGGGGGGGAATAAGCGAAGGGTAAATCGCGAAAGAGAGCGATGTACCCTCGTAATTCCCGTGAGCTCTGTTACCGCACCGTCATATCCCCGCCGTTCGCCCCCTTGGGTACCTTGGCTCTACGAAATTTTCCCCGGACATTTTATACGTATAGTCACCTGATGCAGGGAAGATTCCGAAGTTTAATTTCATCAATTTTTTACCCCCCCCCCCCCCCAAAGTTCAAA